GTCCCCTTTTTGTCAATAAACAATGTTGTTTATCATAAGTGTCGTAATCTTGTTTATAATCAAACTTCGTTTTCCTTCGAACACATCGATTGCTAATGTGATCACCTGTTTATCATTCATCCGGGCTACAAGCCGTTATCGGGGAAGTTAGACACTCGATTAAACCTGATTTAAATAGCGTTAAAAAATGGTTTACCACCAGTACACCAAAAATGTTCACGATGTCCTGACGGTGAAATACGGCCATGCCTTTCACGAGAATTATGCTATTGTTAATCTTACCCGTTATCTTGTCCTTCTATTTCAGAAACTATCAAAAGGTGGCGCTATATTTACAATACGTCTTATTTTAAATTAATAGTGTTGATTATTTTTAATATGGTAACTATACTGTACTAATTGTGTTTACACAGTGAAACAGCAGTTTCCATCGACGACGCTGACATGACAGACGAAGAAATACTAGAAAACATGAGGCTATACAAGCAGGTCATCGAATCCATCAAGAACCAGCCCTGGAGGATGAAAACGAAGTACAAGACACTACGGTAAATCAAACCCCGAAAATTGGAAAACAACAAAAGTAACCTAGTTTTGTATACTGAAACATTACTTTACGATTTCTGGATTGAAAACTGGGAATCAAGGATTTTTCTAGTCTCTTAAAAATACTTGCACGTTGTTTCTTAGTTGGGTTTATATTCGTCACAAGAGTCAATCTCATTTTGTAATATATTCCTGGGTATATTATATATTATTTTGAAATCATTTACAAATTTATTTTTATTTTATTTACTATTTCCTCACACATAATCGATATTTATTAGTATACAGGGATATAATAACACTTAGTCCCAATAAAACACCAACTACTACGATAAAACAAAACTTATTTATTTGTTAGCCTAATTGTTTTACTATTCACCAGATGTCGCGACAAGCAGATGTATTGTTTTCTAATTGAAATATTGTTTACATGTGCTAAACTTCCTGGATAAAGACGATACTGTTAAAGTATAAACATGCAGTAATTTTTTTTCATTAGCCTTATTGTCAGAATTTTGTTTTATAGGATACAATTAATCATATTTCCTATATTTAGCCAATTTATCTGTTTTAAATAAATGACTATTAAACGCAAATATTTAATGATAGGTAAAACAAACTTGCTCTTAGTAAACACTAAAAGTCAGAATAATATTTTTTTAAGAGTCCGTAGGTGGAATAGCTCTAAGTTTACAGACTTGCAACGCCCAAATATGGGGCTCGATTTCTCGCGGCGGACACGGTAGATAGTCCAAAGTGGCTTTGCTCTAAAACAAAACTTGTTTTAGAAAGACAAATTTGTGTCCAGAAAGCACTACTTTTAACAGTAAATACATTTCTTTTATCTCCACTGTATGTGTCAATAATAATTTGGCTTTATCACGAAAAACTAGTGTTTAATGTTGCACAACGACATCAAGAGTTTTATGTGGCGCGTTCTCCACACCACGAGGTCCCCTTTTTGTTCCTCTGGGAATGGTTTCCATATCCTCAGCAAAAATTAAGTTATTTTGTTAGATGATTCATTTCCTACATCCTCCTTCAAATTTATTCGAACGAGATTTTTTGATTGGCCTATCCGTGCTGTGCCCACCAAGAATATTTAAACCTGGTTTTTAGTGTTATAAGCCCCCAGACTTACCGCTGAACCATTTGAGGAGGGATGGGGGGGGGGGTGCTCTAACGTGAGAAAAAAAAGAAGATTGTAGTTAATAATGATTTTTGATTGTTTGTTTGAACTTATGCACAAAGCTACACAATGGGCTATCTGTGCTCTGCCCACCACGGGTATCGAAACCCGGATTCTAGCGTTGTAAGTCCGCAGACATACCGCTGTGCCACTGGGGGGGGGGGCATGCATTTTGAGTCGAACTTAGTTGTGAAATCTTAAGGGGGCTACAATCAAATGTGATAAATGGTGGGCCTAAAATCAGATGTAATAAATGGTGGGGCTGTAATCAAATGTGATAAATGGTGAGGCTACAATCAAATGTGATAATTGGTGGGGCTACAATCAAATGTAATAAATGGTGGGGCTGTAATCAAATGTGATAAATGGTGGGGCTACAATCAAATGTGATAATTGGTGGGGCTACAATCAAATGTGATAAATGGTGGGGCTAAAATCAAATGTGATAAATGGTGGGGCTACAATCAAATGTGATAAATGGTGGGGGCTACAATCAAATGTGATAATTGATGGGGCTACGATCAAATGTGATAAATGGGGCTAAAATCAAATGTGATAAATGGTGGGGGCTACAATCAAGTGTAATAATTGGTGGGGCTACAGTCAAATGTGATAAATGGTGGGGCTACAATCAAATGTGATAAGTGATGGAGCTACAATCAAATGTGATAAATGGTGGAGCTATAATCAAATATGGTAAATGGTTGGCCTTCAATCAAATGTGATAAATTCTATAATGATGATGGTTATTTTAGCAATTTACGTGTTTGTTTGTTTTTTTCGTCAAGGAAATAAGTTTTCTGGGCATGCAAGTCACATTTTGAGTTCTTATGAGTTTGGTACTCCAGTTAGAATTCATAATTTTTGAAACTATTTAGGTGTCTTCCACAAGTCATCCAATAAGTTATTAGTTATGGTGTTTATTTCTGTAGCTAGTAAAAACAATGGACGCTTGTTAAGCAAGCAAAAGTGTTTTTGTAAAAAAAAAGCTTCCATTACAGCTTATTATCAGTTTTCAATGTCACTGGTTACGAAGAAAGCTCTTCAAAAAACAAAGCTTGAGTGTGCAAATCAGTCCATGTGATCTACACGAAGTCACTTGATCAAATGTCTTTTAATAACTATAATAATTATCGTTCGCTGTTTAGGATATTCGTGCACATATACACAAGGACTGTATGCGCTAGCTATCACTAATTTTGAACTGATAGACCAAAGGAAAGGCAGCAGAAACCAGCCCAGCTCTTGTGCTACTTAATCATATAATGTGATTTGGCCCGAAAAAATGTGAAGCGCGATTTTGCGGCAACGGGACACGAACCGTGGATTCTCGAATTCATAGTCCTGCATGCTAACGCCCAATTCTCCCCCCCCTCTCTTCCCAAATATAAAAACAGATAACCAACGCACTATATGTTGATCGAGTTCAACTTTTTTAACACTAGAAATAACTTCCGCTTAACACATGACATATTAACCAAACCTGAACCCATCTGTTTGGTTATGTAGCATATTAACAATGTGCACATTTTGTGCTCAAACTGTAATATTTTTACATGCTTTAAATGCCTTTTAAGAAATCCAATGTCACGCATGCTTCAAATCATAAATCACAATGTAACTCACACATAGTTGTTTTCATTTTACATCCTATTGAAATGATTAATTATTGAATCTAGTGTCTATGAAGTAGCTGGTTTGTTTTTCTATGTTGTCGTATTGTTTCGTGTACACGGAACGGTAAAGCTATTACAATCCATCAGCGGCCGACACAGCTTTCAAGTTTAATAATAGGCATATTGTTTCAACCTGAAATAAACCTTTTAATCAGCATTAATACTTATTATCGTAGATGAACTGGCAGTATGTTGCTAAATTAAGGTCTAATGAGTTTGATAATTTATTAGTTTTTAGTAAACGTTTATTTTAATATGATAAGTAGGGTGGGGTTGGCTGTCTTTCCTGTTGTCCGAGGAGATGAGATGCGAACGGTCATCACAAAAAAAAAAATATTCTAACTTTTTTCTACTACCTTCTGTATCTTTTGTGTGTGTGTGTGTGTAGATAAACTAACTTACAACGTGAGGTTGGTAGGATTCTAGTAATTAGTATTATTACATAAGTTACTCTCCTTCCTGAATAAAATACAGATTTTTTTTTTATAGCCACGTCGATACTAATCTGTAGAAATCCAAATGAAAACCAATTTTCTGCCCCTCTTTTACAACATTATATAGTAATGTATTTTCAAACGTCTCCTGTGCTGGAGCTGATTTTTATCGTCCATTAGAATGAGTGCAGGAATGGTTTGAAAAATGATGTGGCTCAGTGAGGGACGTCAAGAGGCATGTCCTCTCGGGAAAATTTTAAATGTTCACAGGTTGAAACGTTGTATTCTGGTATATTTTAAAACATGTCCAGGAAGTTAAATCTAGTGTTGTACTCGTAGCTTTCCTACTCCAGTGTAAAAAGTCAATTTGTAAAAGGTCAACGTATCCTAGTGGCTGGTCAACAATTTGAAGCTGAAAGATGTCACAGTAAAAACGTGTGATAACGTTATGGTTCCATCTCACGAGAAGACAGTTGGAACTGAGAAAGGTCACAGAATAGAACTGTCTCGTGAAGCCTTAAAAGCAAGCTTCACAACAGACAATTAGCACGCGAAGTTGGTCACTAATGGAGTTCGTCTTGATGTGTTTAGCTGGTTTTGCTGAAAAGGACAGGCCAAGTCAAAGTTGACATTTACCATATTTTTTTAATGATTTAATTAAAACAGAACACGTGTGAGAATAGGGATGTTAATAAGATATAATAACATTTCTAACTATACATATCTAAATTAAAAAGTAACCTATAAATTAATGAAACCAGGTTTATACAGGAAACTCACAAGAAGTAAAAATGTCATAAATAAGTAAAAACTTACAAGTAAAAACTGTAATGATTATAATGTATCAGTTAGGTACTCTCACTGTAAATGCCATTTTCAGCTGTAAACCTAATAAAATTTCACGAGGTTCAACAATACAAAATAATCTTCTTAAGTGCACTGATGATGGAATTATGACGATTCCAAAACGTCTAATAAATTCTTCCTGTTATTACGTTCGTGGCCCGGCATGGCCAGGTGGTTAGGGTGCTCGACTCGCAATCTGCTGGTCACGGGTTCGAATCTCCGTCCCACCAAATATGCTCGCCCTTTCAGCCGTGGGGGCGTTATAAT